GTCATTAAATACAAAAAAATAGACTTTTAAAAAAAGGTGCGCTAAGTTCTCGAAGCGCACTTAAATAGAATTTTGTTATCAAAAGCCTGACACGCTGTTGCTAATTTCTTGATTGCTAATCTTTCATAAAAAACACACAAAAATAGAATAAAATAAAAGCAGCATTAAGATAAAAATACTAATTCCAGACATGTATTTAATCATTAACGTTCTTATTGTTTTCTTCTTTAAATACGCATATTTAAATATCTAAGAAATAGAAAATATTTATTTCATGAGTACATATTTACTTATACTAATATGTAAAATATTTTCCAAATAAGAAAATATATATTTTCTTAAACTTATTTTTACTTTTAACTTTTCACATGAAAGAAATTCTTTATTCTATTTAAATAAAAGAAATTTGAATTAAGTAAGTATATTATTACTCAACAAAGTATCATCTATATTACAATGTTAGCTCAATCATAGGATATATTATGTAACTGTTACTTTGTTATATAACAAATTGTTACGTAATATATCATATGATTGTGATGACATTGTAATGTCGATGATACTTTGTGTTTACTGGGTTGTATTCGTCGAATAAATATTTCTTATCTTTTATATATATATGCACATTGTGAGATAAAAATATCTAAAAAAACTAATAATATATTTATTTCAATTTTTAAGTAGAAGAATTTAATGATTAAAGACTTAGATATTCAATGTGTATATGTATATCTAAAAAACATAAAAAATATTTATTCGACGGATACTAATAATATATTTACTTAATTATAAATTTTTTTATTTAAATAGAATAAACAATTTTTTTCATGAAAAGTTAAAAGTATAAGAAAATATATATTTTCTTATTTGGAAAAATATTTTACATATTAGTATAAGTAAATATATTATTATATACTCATGAAATAAATATTTCTATTTCTTAGATATTTTTTCTCTCAATGTACGTACATTAAATATATACATTTAATATATATTTATGTTGAAAGTTTAAATATCCGTATTTAAAGAAAAAAAGCAATAAGAATGTTAATGATTAAGTACGTCCGCGGAAATTGGTATTTTCATTTCAATGCTACTTTCATTTTATTCTATTTTGTGTGTTTCTACGAAGTATTAGCAATCAAGGAATTAGCAGCAGCGTATCAGGCTTTTGATCAAAAGATTATGACTGCGAGATATGTTCGCGTATCTCACGACGATACGTTTTTAATTTCACGTTTGCGAGTGTAGATATACACGTACGTGCATTTGTATGCGTGCATGGGCACGTATGTGGCTTTCTAGGGAAGATGAGGATCCCGCGCTTCGGACCCGAGCGATATGCAAATTTCAGTAGTAACCCTTAAACTTTACGTCCTGACCTAGATGCTTACCTGTCTGAGTAGGAGGGAAGGAGGGGGATAGAGAGATGTCTCGCGATTATACGCGATTTACTACGTCGCCGAGGTTTAATTGCGAGCGCAAGGTCTTTGCGATATTGCCAAGACAGAATAGAACATGTCATTAATAGCCAGCATTTGCTTCTCTTTATAAGTAATTATAACTGCAAGGAACTGGTGAATTGAAAAAAAAACAGATGGAAATTTACTCCGTTGAATCATAAAATTTTAATCTTGACCCAAATAATGACCTAATCTTCTCCTATCTTGATCCACGTAGTTTAACTCGAAGAGATATATAAATCTTTTATTCGATGTTACGGTATACCAAGCAGGAATGAACAAAATGAATTCAGAAACTGTTTAGAAACTGCTCTTTTCATCGACACGAAATGTCAAATTCACGATTTCATTGATTTCCAATTGCCTTCGGCCCCTTTTTAATTCACCGATGTCTCTGGGCGCGACTATTTCTCCATTTTCTTCCACTTGTATGCATCCGCCAGATGCATTCCATAAACTGGAATGAGTTTCGCGATACTCCGACGAGGAACCGGGAGCTTTACGACGCTCTGTCTCCTTGAATGTTTCGTTGGATCGCGCGTCCTCCTTATATCACCTTAAGTCACCGTGTTCCGCGTTTCACGCCGGGGAATAGATAAGGGAGAAAGCGCGAGTGGGGCTGGCGAAAATGCGAAAAATGCCCCATAAATTTCGCCATATAATGGAGGACCATGAAACCGTTGACGGCCGGCGATCAATCCACCGTGCTCGCGTCTTAACGCTGCGCGACACTTGTTGGCGCGTAACTCACGCTTTTACTGCCGATCGGCATTACACGAGCATCATTTCTATCATTTTTATTTTCAATTAATTTTTCTCTCGTCTCCATTATTTTCAGTGACATGCATCCGGTTTGCTCGACTGATCTGCCCATTGGAGTGGAAATCTCTGAGAAATTGATGAATAATGAAATCCCTGGAGATTCGGTGAGCAAACTTCCAACAGAATTTTGCAAATCGTACAAAAGCGTATCATATATTAAAATTCCTGAATCAATAATACAATGATATATTAATCTGAACGGTGGATGAATATTTTGTAGGATAACAATAAAGGGAAAAGAAACGACGAAAAGGGTTTTAATTGGCATTACGCTTCTATTTATGATTTGCACAATAGCATTTAAATAATATTAGTTAAGACGCAAATTAAGACGCGATGAAAACAACCGGCGCAAATGTTTAAAACATATCTTGTATATTTATGCAACGAGTTATGTAGTAGTAGACGCGTAATGGGATCCGCAGCTTCTTACTACCAAATGCAAACATGGTGCCGTGCTCGTCGTGTAAATAAGCTATGCTTACCGACGAGATTGCCGGCCAGGTACGTATCACCAATCATTTGCCTAGGCTAATCAACGTTCGCCGCTCTTGTGATGTGGCTTAAATTAGAGGACGGCGAGCCCGGATCGCCGTGGCTTTGGGTTGCATTTGAATTGTGTATGAGTAAGCCTGGATTAATGGTTAACCCGACACGTGTAGCTAGCACGTTCATTTCAGTTTGACCCGTGATAAACTTTGCGTAATACACGGCCCACCTCGCGGTATCGCGTAGATAATCGTTATCGCCTCATCTAAAAGGCCTGATTATAATTAACGTCCGCGTTATAATCCTTTCCTCCCCCTCTTCCTCGCGTTACCAATGGTGCTCTATTTACGAAGGGCTTGCGTTATTTACACACGAAGGCACTATGTTTCTGTCGCGATATACGTGTATCGTAAGTCTGTGCTTACACGCAAAAAAATGACTGATAGTTAATAATATCAGTTAAATCTCAGTGACTAAGATTTGAACTTAGCTAAAAGGCTAATTGTTTTGCTGACATTGTTAAAAGTAGGTTATTACAGACAACATATATTTTCTCTGTGAGATACAAATTTATTAGTAGAAACTAAACTGCATATTTGTTTGTCGAGTAGCTAAGAAAGTGATAAATAATATCTACCATAATTATAAACAGTTTCTAAATATCTTATACGCCTAAATCTCAAGCATTCGACTCTATAAAGAATTAACTCTATTGAGCTTGTCCCATCGCATCGCTCGCATTAATTGACCAATTTTTTTCATTAATTACCGTGACAGAGTCTATACATCATTTTTCTATTTAATAAGTTTTCTCTACACACGAGCAGTTAAATCCAGAGATCCTATACAATTAAAGGATATGTAAAACAAGTTTTGTGTATGTGTCTTTTTACAATTTTTTTATTATATTTTTTTCATTGGGAATGTATACAGAATGCCTGACACAAAGCATACCAGTGCTCGTATGCGAGAGCTCATGAAGTTGAGCTAAACAGCTCTTTACTATTTTGCAAATAATTGACAATTATTTCTTTTCCTTTGATCCACGGTAACGATATCTTCAACCTATTCGCGAGTTACAACTGTTTAATCATTTAATATTTTTACTATCCTATAGTATTCCTGTTTATATATTTTTACTATATTAAAAGCCGTATTCTTGATGTGTATTCGCGAATGCTAAGTACACTTTTTTAATTTCCCAATTCTGCTTTTTTTATACGAGCGTCACGTATAAGATTGTTTGGTTTGAGAATCAGAAAAGCGTGATTAGCGTTGAGGTTTAGGCTCGTGCGACAGTTGCTATCACGCCGGCGCGCATTGCTTCCAAAGTGAAAGTTGAATGACCGCGTGGCTGTAGCGAGAAAGTAGGAGGAGTCTACAACTTCTCGCGAGGG